CAGTGCTCAGAAACCTGAGGTTTGGTTTCGGTGGGCCTGCGTATTCGAAGGGCTTTCGCCAAGCTGTCTTGACGCCACATCATCGAACGTCGTAACCACCTGCAACGCACAAAAGAAGCAGTTGAACGCGTCAGCGTCAATTCCGAAGTGATGCATAAAAAGAGGGCGATCCCCCGGTGACCATCGGCCGCCGCAAACTCATTCATCTCTTCCCTACAGATTGGCGTAACCATTTCATGCAATATATAACTGGCGATGGCAATCGATATTTCTGCTTTTCCTCTCCTTTGAGGCCGACACAGGCGAAATTCAGAAGAATCCACAGTTGGAGTCATTCGTCACTTGAAATAGTTGCCTCATTACTGCGCCTTAAAGAATATTATGAAAGTGGCCTACGATTTCCTGTACTTTTTGGGCAGATGTGTAAAATATCTGCGTTCTGGTTTGACAACACGCTATAAGAATTTTGCTCCTATGAGAGGCAACCGTCCGGCGTAGAATAGAAGAAACGGAAGCCTCTTTTAAAGCTACTATGTGCAAATCTGCTCATGATAATGAATTTGTTTTTCCCCAAGAAATTAATGCTTAAAACATTTTGAGGAACTTCTTCCTATGTGTCGCGCATTAACACAGGCCAAGCAGGGCTGTTAAGATTGTGGCATCCCAGAAGACCATGACGAACAACGACAACAAAGTGTTTAAATCGTAAATGGGCGAAACGGTTTCCCCTTGCTCTCTTTATAGTATACACGAAACATGATCAACCAATTCTTATATCAGAATTCTTATTAAGAATAACAGATTTACCAGACAACATCTGGCATATTTCGAACGAATTTTATTGGGTTCATAACGGACGTTTGAAGGTGCAGAGAATGCTCTTGACTCTTTAATGTTTGTGATTAGTCGGGTGTGGGTGGTTTACAGTTCAGGGTTTCGTTTTCGTTTATGCTTAATTGTTTGTTCTTCTCCAGCTTTACTAAAGACCTTAAACTACAAAAACACGGAATGGTACGTTGTAATATAGACCACTGGTTACTGCCAGCACTGGGTCATGCGATCGCCGCATCGAATCTGTTCGACTGGACAGTGGTCAGCTATGTTAACTGCGCTATTTAGCCAATCATGTTATATATCAATGTAAAGCCCGTCTGTGAGTACGATGCCGCTGTCAAATTAGTAAATTTCTTGTGACGACCGTACGATGTCAATACGTCAACAGTCTGCGGTCGCGAATTTGAATCTGTGTCATTTCAGATGGTCATTTGCGTTAATCATTTGACCTTCTCTTCATATTGCTTACCGTCACCTGCTGTTATATAAACTCCGACACCTGATCAAGTGGTTTCGCTCTCGCTGGCAGCCAGGCGCAGTCACTATGACGAAATCATACCCTAAAATGAAAATCATCGAAACTCACAGTTTGAAAATGACATCACACTTGACTGACAATCAGCTACCCAATGGTGTATAACATGATGGCTGAATTTCCAGCTGATGCAGCTGACCACTGTCCAGTTCTACGGGTTCAATGCAGCGATCTGTGCCAAAACTTCACGGACTATTAAAAATGAGGTTATTCATAAGCAATGCGAACAAATTCCTCAATCGGTTGATTATCCCACTCCGATGCTTTAGTTCGTGCTTTATGGAACATCTTCAGTGTGGATAGGGTTGATTTGCAAACTTATTCTGTACTCCGCAATTATGAAATCGTTTGGAGCCAAAAAGTGTGCTTTTGGTCAATGTTGCTGTTTAAGTAGTCTTTCAGCAACAGGCCTGACAACGATAGTCTAATCCGTGCAAAGTACGTATTCTTTCTCCAGTGGGGGGGGGGCATTTTCACAGGATTGGTTATTTAATGCCCTTTTGATTTGTCTGTTCAGTCACTTTCTTTCTTTAATGAGGCTCGTGTTATCTAACTATTCTCTGCTGCGTGTTGCACAATCCCTGAGAGCTTTGTTCTTCGACCTGGTTTGGGGTGAGGACCTATTTTCTTCCCAGATGCTTTGCTGCCGCAATTCTGCGGTCTTCTGATCCAATTTCGTTGTTATTTATTTATAGTCAACCTGAGACGGAATTCCTTGACCATCTTTTTGACACAGCAGTAAAATTCCAAAATTTCCTCACGAAAGCAAGGTCGAGTCGAGTACCATGCTCAGTACGTAGCAACGATCAAACGGCAATAAATTTTAGTTTATTATGGATTATGGATTACCACCACGGAGGGGTACGCATATACGCCTAAGGCATGAGGCATATCGTTTGGTGTATGAGCATGCTTTTGCTTGAGGCGACACAGTGATGCCGCGTTGCGTCCAAGCGCTATAGATTCTGTAAAACAGTAAAGCCGTGGTCTGCCCATACGGACCCTCATAAAACTGGTAGCAAGAGGACGATGTGGTACGCCGCGTAAATCTGGAAGATGTGGCAGAAGATTGACACGCAGTACTGACGACGAACAGTTTGCTACTAAACTCATATCTGGATTAACTCCTGACGAGTTGGATGAGTTTATGCCAAAAATAAATTCCGTTATTACGGGTTTGCAAGCAAACTACTGTTTTTCGATACCGTCGAAGGAATAACATTCTCCAGTCAATTTTTCGGAATTGCACGTAGAAACATGATCCCTTTGCTTCTCGTCTAGGGTACGTTAAAGCGAATACGAACCAAAATTTTTAGTGTATATGGCCACGGACTGAGATGTATTCGTTGGTAGTCAAACATGCGTTTTTCTCGACCTAACAAAGTTCTTGGGTCCTGTTCTGCGTCGATACATTGCAGGTATTAAAATACCATGGACTCGTGACAATCTTAAACGGTAGTCTAGACTTCTAGAATCCACCGGACTGTGTGCTACGTTGTGTAAATCAATCCTGAGATGTGTCCAGAGAATGTCTTATGAGCTTATCTCCGTTTTCTAACTGCGTTCATTTTAAACCTAACCGCCAAACTGTTTGACCATTGGCTGAAGGCCCCTTCCCCACCGAAAAACAACATTGTGTTCTACTTGCTTTTCTATATGTGGTTTTGCTTTAGCTATCAAAGCTCAAATCATTGCGAAGCAGATGGTCGACGGTTGGCTCAAGTACCAGCTGGCGGTGATGATCATCTACAAGCGTCATCCGTACATACGTCTGAGAAGGGGCGAAGAACCGCTGTGGATCTCTGAAAAACACTACTTCTGCAAATGCCCAACGGTTCGATTAGGAAGGAAGTATCTCATTATGGGTAAATTCGCAATTATTCGATTTTCGACATTCGCAAAAAAATCGAGCACATATCGGTTTATCTCCCTTAATGTTCGGTTCCTTTCAGTCCACTGTTACAAAGTGTACATTTCAACAATGGGACATTACAAATTATTATATTTGCATCATTTAAAAAATTCTTTCAACACTACATTTATACTTACATTTTGAAGCCAATGATGCATTCATTACCGTTAGATGGATCCAGGCCAATAGAGATCATGAATTGCAAGCCTTTAGCAGCACGGTCTTACGTCTCGAACCCATAGTATTATCACTGTAAAACATGCAGAACCAATTGGTCTAGTTCAAATCATTGCTACCCGTTTCTAGGAGCGAATTTCTCGCTCAGAGGAGTTACTATGTAATATGAAAAATCTGCGTTATGCTGGTTTCGAACCTGTATTTATGGCATGTTATGCCGAATAACTTCCATCTGTGCCGCATCACTGCCATCCTACCCCCGTCTCGCAAAAAGCCTTCATATTTTTCAATTATATTTAAATCATTTCACACATGATAAGGTAGGATTTAGGACAATTGAATTTTTAATATTTTCAAGAAAGTACTTTATTCTGAGAGTGTCAACGACGTATGACAGGGGACTGTATGACTTTAATTACTTTAAGAAATTAAACAAAAGTGCGTAGTAGTTAATTAATATATTAATTAGTAATCGCATTTTCAGGCACTGGGGACACCTCAGACATTGAAAGGTCAGGCATTGTGCTGAACAGTCGAACGATCGTGGTAGAGTGGAGGTCGAAATTCGACGAGCAGCTGCGCAGGTTCGCAAGGGAGGAAGCTGATGGCGCTTTCTGCTTGAGGCTGGACAACTCTCGATCGAACAGTATTTCGGAGGTGGAAAGACGACGGTGACGTGCGAACATCGGCCACCGTTTTCATTCCAAAATAGTACCTGAAGTATTTTGAGAGTAGGCGTTGGGCGCTGTTGTTTTTAGCTGGACGGGACCGTGCTTCCTCGTACTCAGCACATCTTTTGATATGCGTTGTGTCCTCGCTTATGTTCTAAATGTTGTGGAGCTTTATTTATGCACGTCCAACGATCCATGTCTTACTGTATAAAGTCGTCGTTATTTCTGTACATGTCGATCTTGTTCAATCGGTTGTGATATGACTGTAGTGTTGTGCGCTATGCATTATTAAATGATATTGAGATTCGCGTGAATTTGTTCATAAGTTGTTGTCTATGAAATGGGTTTTTTACTTGTTATTATTTTGATAAATGCGATCTTCCTTTCAGACATAATGGCTTAAATGCTAAGTTTTTGGTCAACTATGTTTGATATAATTTCTTAAGTACGTTGGAGTTAAGTCCGAGGATATTGTTTTTCGTATTATACGAGGATATTATTTTCCTCACATCATTCGTTTTTTTAGTTATGAGTCGTATCAATTGGTATTAAAGAAAACGATCTATGCCATTTATGCACCGTCATGCCTTTGATTAGGCACTAATTTTCATCCATCGCGTGGTCAATTGGGATTGCCTTGTCGCTTTTCTTTTCTAAGGCTGTATCTACAGCCTAGCGAGCTTTACAGCGTGTAGTCAGTTCTCTCCTTCCCACGAAGTCGCATTCATTTATCTGCCCTAGAAGGACCAAACGTCAGACTACCATCCTGAAATTAAGCTAAGGACCTCATAACCGTTAGTTC